AACACGTTACATGTCGAGCATTCATGCAATTAGTAAGTACTGCTACGTGGAAACCGACAAGAAAAGAACCGCTCGATACGAATATTACGCCATGTAGCATTACACTGCGTAACGTTACGAGATAAGTAAATAATAATACGAGATACGTAACGTTACGAGAGAGATATGAGCCTTTAATTTTTTTTTTCATTTTAATATTTCCGTATGTTTAAGCTTCTAAAACTAGGTTATGTTTACGGATAATGTATCGTTTTTATTTTCCCTGCCAGACCGCACTTAAACATAATTTGTAGACAACCGGAGTGATGTGGGCCGAACACGTGTTGCCAGGGTTAATTATTCAATTAAAACTTGGTTCATTAGTATAAAGAGATACTTATTTGAGGTCTCCATAAAATTCTACATGCTGGACGAAACAGTTTAAACAACTAGAAAATAGTGTTTAAAATTTTTATCAAACATCCGTCAGAATCATGAATTACAGAGGTTCTATCCCGAATATTTGCGTGACAGTTTCGTGAACGCATTCCTAAAATCATCGACTATGTTGTTATGTGACACACAAATTTAGTAAATTTTTTGTCGATAACGTTACCTAAACATTCTCGCAAATTTTCGTGATAAGTCTTCTAATTATTTTTTTAGATAAGGTCAGCATCGTTTAAATATATTCAAGATCGACGTCTATCGTCAATATTCGCTTAGTTTAATTCCTTGTTCCAATTGATTTGAGATCAATCTAGTTTCGATATAGTTATCGGAGAACGGTAGCTAAGATCTTAACTTGGCAACAGATGTATGCGTCATTGCTCCAAGATAAGAGAGGTATGAGATTTGACAAATATACATGTATACTGAGATATAATTGTATACTTGTATAATTTTATACATACACTGTTGTTAATTATGTAAAAAAGCAAATGAAATTTATTTATTTACACGCAGTGTCTCAAAGTGAGTTTTGGCACCTGACACTAGAGAACACTATGTTATCCTGTCATGACCGCATTTTAATTATGGTAAACTAACTTTTGCCCACGACTCCGTGCGCGTGTAATTAAAAAAAAACATAAGTGAGTAGTATTAGCCTATGTCTTTTGCTAGACTATGTTCTACGTCTATGCCAAATTTCATTGAGATACGTTTAGCAGTTTAGGCTACAAACTCTAACAAACATCCACCAATCCATACATACTCGTACATATATATAAACTTTCGCATTTATAATATTGATATGATTATTATTAGGTCGACAATTTTTTTGTGAAGAAGAAATGAATTTCCCTATACTTCACACATCAAATAAAACTCGGAAGATTTTTATCCAGATTTTCAAACTCTTTTATTATAGCTTAAGTATAAAAACAAATTTATTTTGCCACCTGAATAAAAACGCTGATATTATTTGTTCATAGAATTACATTATTTAATTTTATCGTAAATAATGAACATTCACTTGGACCACCGTATGTAAATTCTACAATCACACATTAATTGGCCTCGTTAATGCTTCACGGATTACTTGCTGATTCTGTAGGCAAGTGTAGATATGACGTAGTTAGCACAATTACATGTAACATGTTGATAAAGGTTTAATATAGAGAAGATTAATTAATGATGAACATGTCATCATCATCATCATCATCATCATCATC